GTGCTGTGTTGTGTGGTGCGTCGTGTTGTGTGGTGTGGTGCGGTGTTGTGTGGTGTGGTGCGGTGTTGTGTGCTGTGTTGTGTGGTGCGTCGTGTTGTGTGGTGTGTCGTGGTGTGTGGTGTGTTGTGGTGTGTGGTGTGTTGTGGTGTGTGGTGCGTCGTGGTGTGTGGTGTGTCGTGGTGTGTGGTGTGTTGTGGCGTGTGGTGTGTTGTGGTGTTGTGTTGTGGTGTGTGGTGCGTTGTGGTGTGTGGTGTGGTGTGGTGAGTGGTGTGTCGTGGTGTGTGGTGTGTCGTGTAGTGTGTGGTGTGATGTTGTGGTGTGTGGTGTGGTGTGTTGTGGTGTGTGGTGTGTTGTGGTGTGTGGTGTGTTGTGGTGTGTGGTGTGTTGTTGTGATGTTTGTGGTGTGTGGTGTGTTGTGGTGTGTGGCGTGTTGTGGTGTTGGGAACGCCACGCCCCGACATGTCAAAAAGCGCGCCGACATGCTAAAAACCAAGGTTTCCGCCGACATGCAAAAAAACGCGCGCCGACATGCAACAGAAGCGCGCCGACATGCCAAAAACCAAGGTTTCCGCCGAAATGCAAAGAACACGTGCCGACATGGCAAAAAAAACACGCGCCGACATGCGCCGACATGCTACAAACCAAGGTTTCTCCGACATGCAAAGATCACGCGCCGACATGCCGAAATCACGCGCCGGCCTGCCTTACCGAGAGCACGCGCCGACGCGTCGATATGGATACAATAATAGGCCAAGAGCTGCACGGATGATCTGGTGTCTGGGGCTTCCATCCCGCCCGACCAGGCCAGAACCCGGTTCGTTGTTCTCTCTTTCCCTGCTCGTGTCTTGTATCGCTGTGTGTGGCGAACCCAGTCCGCCTCTCTGGCCGGGTACCCATTATGTTTGTCGGGAGGTTGCAGAGCGGCGGGGGCCGTGAGAGCGGCGAGAGCTGCAGCAGTACGCGCCGACGTGTTAAAAAGAGTTAAATAGAATAAGAAGGTTACTGCGAGGAACTGAAGAAATTCAGGGGAATTGACCCAGAGGCTGTCAGGGAGATTTGAAAGTGACTAATTAATTTGAAAAAGGACATTGCGACATGCCAAAAGTACGCGCCGACGTGCCAAAAGTACGCGCCGACGTGCAAAAAAAACGCGCCGACATCCCAAAAATGCGTTCCGAGATGGACAAGAGACACGCGCAGACAGAGTTAAATAGAGTAAAGAGGTTACTACGATGATTTGAATTTGAAAGTGACTAATTTGCAAAAGGACCCGCCGACATGCCACAAGCACGCGCCGACGTGCCAAAAGTACGCGCGGACATGCAAAAAAACACGCCGACGTGCCAAACGTGCGTGCCGAGATGGAAAAAAAGACACGCGCAGACAGAGTTAAATAGAGTAAAGAGGTTACTACGAGGAACTCAAGGAAGTCAGGGAGAATAACCCAGAGGCAGTCGGGGAGATTTGAAAGTAACTAATTTGGAAAAGGACCCGCCGACGTGCCAAAAGTACGCGCCGACATGCTAAAAGTACGCGCCGACGTGCAAAGAAATACGCGCCGACGTGGCAAAACCTGCGCCGACATACGAAAAAACACGCGCCGACATGCCAAAAACACGCGCCGACACGCCAAAACAAGCGCCGACATGCCAAAAACACGCGCCGACATGCTAAAAATCCGCATGTTGCGCCGACATGTCAAAAGCACGCGCCGACATGTCAAAACCGACCCGCGGAGATAATATCTCGGGATGTTTTGTTTTTCCATCTCGGGGCGCGTTTTTGTCATGTCGGCGCGGGCGATCCCTTGTGGTGTGTAGTGTGTTGTGGTGATGTTGTGGTGTGTGGTGTGTGGTGTGTGGTGCGTTGTGGTGTGTGGTGTGTGGTGCGTTGTGGTGTGTGGTGTGTGGTGTGGGGTGTGTGGTGTGGTGTGGGGTGTGGGGTGTGGTGTGGGGTGTGGGGTGTGGGGTGTGGGTGTGGGGTGTGGGGTGGTGGGGTGTGGGGTGGGGTGCGGGGTGGGGGTGTGGGTGGGGTGTGGGGTGGGGGTGTGGGGTGTGGGGTGTGGGGTGTGGTGGTGTGTGGTGTGTTGTGGTGATGTTGTGGTGTGTGGTGTGTGGTGTGTGGTGCGTTGTGGTGTGCTGGGTGTGGGGTGTGTGTTGTGTGGTGTGGTGTGGTGTTGTGTGGACTGTTGTTGTGGACTGTTGTGTTGTGTGGTGTGGTGTGGTGTGGCGTGGTGTGGGGTGGGGTGGGGTGGGGGGGCGGTGGTGGCGGTGGTGGTGGTGGGGGCGGCGGTGGCGGCGGCGGCGGTTTTGGTGGTGGTGGGGGTGGTGGCGGCGGCGGCGGGGGTGGTGGTGGTGGCGGTGGTTTGGATGAGAAGAGAGCATGCAATTCAAAACAGAAAACCTTCGTATCAATTCGTGTTCTTTTTGTTCACCTGTAGTACTATTCATAACAATATCAACATCTGCAAAAAGTTTCAGGTGAACTATGGTCTACAGCTCGAAACTTACTTGTTTGTTTATGGTTTAGGGTTTAGAGCTTGGGGTTTAGGGCTTAGGGATTTTTATCGAAGCCCTTGTGGCATTCTTAGGCGACCACCCCTAAGCTCTACAAGCCTCGCCCCCCTTAAACTCTGAACCCTCAACTCTACGCCTTTCCGGATTCGGGAGTCCCCCCCCCCCACCCATTGGCCTTTTTCACGGCTTAGGAGCGGTTCTTCGGCCTTTTCACCGCAGTTCAAGCGCTGGTGGCTTGCCTTGGGGGGGTTTGGGGTGTTGGGTTCAGGGTTGTGGGTGCTTAGGGGGGATTGGGTTTCGTTTTCCTTTTTTGTTGGTCTCGAGTCCAGGGTTTAGGGTGGCAGGGGGAGTCTAGGTTTGGGGGTTTTAGGGTTTGGGAGTTGAGCAAGGTTACCGTCCGACTCGGGGATTGGGGGTTGGGTCCCAGGTTCGGTGGGAGCAGCACTTGTCAGGTGATACAAGGAGGGACCCTAGAAGGAACAGGATATGGTCCCTATTATATACCTCAGTCGCCCCTACATTACCCCGAAGGTCCCTTACAAGAGTCATCCGCTTTTCCAGGCCAGCCATCGGAGAGCCATGGCGATGCCGCTGCCCACGGTGTGGGATGTGGCGCTTCCCAAGGCCAGCGGGTTAGAGATTAGTTTAGGGCTTAGGGCTTGGGGCTTGGGGCTTGGGGCTTAGGGCTTAGGGCTTCCACTCCCGAAGCCGTGGGTGCGGAACCGTGTAGGAACTCGGGTCGGCGTAAATCCTATAGACCGGTCCCGCCTTTAGCCCCTTGAACTTGGGCTTTCTTTGCAAACGCCCCCCATTCTGTTGAGAGAAAGTCATGGCAAATTCGCCTTGGACCCCTAAACCGTACACAAGGCGTGGGCGTGGGCGTGGGCGTGGGCGTGTGGGCGCGTGGGCGCGTGGGCGTGTGGGCGTGTGGGCGCGTGGGCGCGGACGTGGGCGTGGGCGTGGATAAAGAGTCTGCGATTGATTCTCAAAGAGCATCGCTTGTTTTTCGAGAAAGCGGTAGCTGGGCCATTCTCCACACGTGCTGGCTCCAAATGGCATCTCTTGTTGGACTGCGCAAGAATGCACACTGTTGCAGCCCTACTTGGAGGTTCATGGTACTTACTAACCAATTAAAACTGGGCTTATAACCCTACTTATAAGTAGGATAACCCCTATAAGGCCCTTTAGGGGTATTATAAGTAGGGTTATAAGTACAGTTATAATTGGTTAGTAAGTACCATGAACCTCCAAGTAAGCCCCGAACGAGAAGCGAGACTGGGTTCAAAAACGGAGCCGGCTCGAGCTATCCGAAATGTCTAAAAGCGCCAGGTCGCCAAAACCCGAGCAGGCTCGAGTTAAACAAAACACACACACACACACACACACACACACGTGAAACTGTAGGATCTATGGCCCTGCAGCCTGGTAGATGCCGGAATGTAGGTTAGGTTTTTTTTTTGAAAGCTCGAGCCTTCGCGAGTTTTAGTCACCTAGTGTCGAGCCGGCTCGAGTTTTCTAAAAATCCAAAACTGTGGCTCTGGGGCCAGGCGTCGTAGATGACAGAATTTAGGCTTCTTTGGAGAATTCGAGGTCGAACTTTCGCAAAAAGGTCTCAAAAGGATGGCTTTGCGCTCGGGGTTTCTTGCTCTGAATGCTTTCAAAAAATATTGTCTAGTTTTATCGGCTCGGGGTTAAGAGTGCCACCGATCCTTAGTTGGGAAAAGTGGATCACTTTCAACAGGTGCGCGCAACGCCTCGCTGGGCAAGCCAGCCTGAGGGCTCCCTCACCCCGACAGACAAGTGAGTGGGGTGCGGAGTAAGCTTCGCCTGATTCCACGAGCGGTGTTGGATAGTATGCTGCATGCTGGCACGTCCGGAGGATTGCAAGTGACCGTCTGTGCGAAGCAGAGTCGGCAGCAAAGGTTCAGCTGGAGTCATGGCTTTGGACGGGAGGGCACTGGCTTCCAAATGAGGAGCTTGTCCAGTGTCGGGATGTCCAAGCACCAATGCCAGGCAGAAGCTGTCAGTGGACAAAGTTGCTGTACTTTGTTCGTTTCTTGACATACTATGCATATTGTCAAGTGCCATGTAAGCCTTCAAAGCTGAGAGAGCGTGTACTGTCAATGCTCACCTTGTCCTCAACATGCCCCCCCCCCGCACTGGCGCCTGTTGTCGCTCACTCCCGCACGCAGCCGGCCTGTGGCCTCCTTTGGATGTTCCTTGTTTTTTTTTTGGCGCGGGGACGACTCCATGCTGCGGCCTCTCAAGCTTTCGGAGGGTTCACACCTCGCTTCCTCAGTGGGCCTGGGCTTAGGGAGCTAACGCGAAGGGCCCCCTGAACCAAAGGCCCAAAGCTCAAGGCCCCCAAGCCCTTCGCGGCAATTAGAGCTAGCGTCTACCTGGACACTCTGTGCCTCTAAGGCCATGTGAGGCCAGGGATTAGGTGACCTTTTGTGCAGCATGGTTTGCTTCCCATGGGCTGCCATGCGGAATGCCTTCCAGGTGGGCTCAGCTTACGAGAGGGCAGTGGGGGGTAGACATGAACAGTTCCGTGCTGCAAGAGAAGCATGAACCAGGTGTGAAATTGCATTCCCGCATCTTCGGTTGCTGATTTGTTGGCCCATGTCCTGGAAGTCGCATGTTGGTGGCCGGAGAGTTGCGCTGTGACAAGAGCACGGTTTTGACCTCGTAGGAGCTTGTCATAGCTTGTCCATTTCTTGCGCCAGGCTGGCCGGGCCGTTGCCTTCGCCAACTTGGAGGCGCGCGGCGGTCACGCGAGAGAGTGGTGACTCGACAGCTTGGCCCAAAGGGCTGATGCCCTGTGATGAGGTGATCTCGTCATGTGGCATCTTGCACGACGTGTTTTCTTCGCTCAATGGACATGAACGCGAGTGTTTGAAAGCCACTGCAGAATAGGGCTGTTTTTCCCGAGGGATTGGCAGAGAGGTGGGTCCTCCACAGAGGACCCGAAGCGCAGATGCCCCTCCTGGGTGCGTGTGCGACATGCGGCTTGATGTGATATATCCGCTCTGAACACAAAGCCGTTGTAGTGTGCACTTTCGATTGGCCACCCTGCCAAGCAGGCAACTTGCAGTGCGATGGACCAGGCCTGGCGTTTGCTCTTGTGACAAGTGTCTCCTATCGAATCGATGTCTAGAAGGAAGACGGGGTTTGCGGGTTGGACAGGTATTGAGTATGCTGCAGCAACTCAGAAGCCCTAAGAGCTAGACCTCCATTGGCCTTACGAGGAGAAGCGAGAGGAGAAGCGAGCGAAGCAGGCCTACGAACTGAGGGTGCCAGCACGGTGTTTTCCATTCAGCACTTTGGGAGTTTGGGTCCGAGGATGTCCGAGGGTTAAATGCTTGCGTGCGGCACCTCGGCAGCCCCCTGGGCGGCTGGGCCGGCCCCAAGTCAGGGGACGTGCAACGTACGGGTTCGATGATATTCGGTGTTAGGATTTCGTGCTTCGGGGTACCTTAAGCGCCCAAACCGGCTTCTTACAAAGGGTTCCTGGGTACATGAACCTACAAGGCTCAAGAAGCTTAGGGCATGCCGTTTTGAGGGTTGCGATCCAGGGTTTTGGGGACCAGGGCAGCCCCAAAACTGTTGAAGCTGTGTTTCTGAACCCTAAGCCCGGCTTGTCCTTGCCGTTTGTTTTGGGCTTTCGTTAGGCGGGTAGCAAAACGCCCGCAACACGTCGCCTGTGAAGCCCTGCAGGAGCGATTCCTGCAGCGGCTTGAGGTTACACTCGCAGTCACGCCGGCTTGCTTCGCTCTCGCCGGGTGCCCAGAAGCCACGCATGTGCCACACTTGAAGTTTCTTCTTTGTGTGTTTTCTAGAACCTAAGTTCCAAGCACCCCTACGTCCCAAATGCGTTGCTTGATTTAGTCACGGACCTGGGTAGGACAGCAATTCGGGGTTCAGGATGATTTTGCCAGAGCCCTGGACCTCAAACTTGTGCGCAAATCCCTCATAAGCTCCCAGATCCTTTTTTGCAAGCTCCTCTTAAAGTGATTCAAAGTCCCAGCCTGAAACCCTTGAACGGCTCTGGGAATGTCATGTGCTGCTCATGCCGTTGTCTCTTTGTTTGCGGTGCCTCTCAAAGTTGCTGGCGCCAAACTTGCCGGGGCCCAACTCCAGCCCCAGCCCTCCCCGCTTCCCCGGCCTCCCAGCGTCCCAACCCCAACCCCCCTCAGGGTAGCACCTAGGCGGTGGAAAATCAATGAACTTGATGCCGGCCCAGGACAGAGACGATCTTGATAATCACCACATGGCCCGTGACGATGAGGAGATCCTGCCGATATGGCGAAAGATGAGGTTTCAGGTTGAGGGTTTTTTGGGGTTCAAGGTGATCTATTGCTCCTCATCTTATTCCAGACGGCTTCATCAGCTTCTAGCATAATGATGAAGAGAGAGAGAGAGAGAGAGAGAGATGAATCGCGTGGAAAGTGGCTTCCCGACTGTTCATGAGTGCAAAGGAAGTGACAGGAGATTCTTCGAAGAGTAAATCATGCGTAGCCCCAGAAAGTACTGGGTGAGAAAAGTCATAGACCAAGATAGGCCTTCAACCCTAAACAGCGAGTAAAGGTGAGTCAACAGAAAGTGAGCTAAACGCCGTGGAAGCCTTTCGGCTTTTCCAGTGCAAAAGACGTTAAAACAAAAAGGGTTTCTCTGGCCCCTGTGCTCTTTGCGTAGGACAGGATATGTGGACTGGCTGTTGGAATTGGCGTCTTAGGGTTGGTTATTCTAGAGTTTAGGGCTCATGGCCGAGTCCTTACAGAGGCTTCCGCGTGCTTTTCGCAAGCAATCGAAATTAGAAAACCTCAGGGGCGTCTATTCGGCAAAGTTCAGAAAGTTCAAGCATTCAAAACATCGAAAACCAACAAAAGCAGATTTGGATCTTTCATGCTTGTGCTCCAAGCCCTTCGATTTGATTTAGTAAGATTCCCATTGATATATATATATATATATATATATAGGCGTCCTATGAATTTTGGCAGAAATCATGTCAAATAGGGTTCATGTTGATTTGAATAGCGTTCCAATTGGTTTCATTAGAACTCCTGCTATATGAATGTTGAGAAGGTTCGTGACGCATGGTTTAGGGTAAGATTACAGATGTTTTGTTTCGTCAGGACTTTGACATCAATGCGGAGTACGATTTCGAGGCGTTCAACAAGGCAGGGGTTTAATTTAACGCTACGCGACCCGCCTCGGCCTGGCCCAATGCAGGTTGCGGAGAGGGGGCCTACGTTGGGGGTGGGGAGGAGGTGGGGTGGGGAGCCTCCACACACCTCTGGCCTACAAAAACCCCCCTGCCAGAGCCAGCGAGGCCTCGGCGGCTTCGGGCTTCGGGTTCAGCTTTACCAGAGTTTAGGACTTCGTTTTGGGGTTTTCAGTTTCGGGGCACGCAAGCATCGTGTGAGCTTCATATTATACAGCCACCAACGCTCACGGGACGTCCGTGCACTTTACTCCGCTCCCTGAAACTCAGCAGCCTTCTCTTCAGTGAGCTTTAGTGGCACGACGCGCCCGAAACCACGGCACCATGGCAGGGTGTTGCAGTATGAGGGAATTGAGAGAACGCGCGTTCTCTTCTGGTCTTCTGGGGTGATCCATGAACAGTCATGCGCTGTGTTGTCTGTGGTTTTTCTCTCGCCTAAAGCAGAGAGAGGACTCCACTAAGAAACCAGTATGTCCCCACGGCTTCTTTGAGGAAACCCTGTCACAGAAGTCTCCATGATCGTTGCCAGCACCCTGCAAGTCGCCAAGCAGCGCGCTGCAGAAAGGGAGATCAAGGTGAGAGACTCTGTGCGATGGCATCCTGGATTCTGGGCCGTTCCTGTCCTGGGCGGTCAGATTGCATCCCCTGTCGGACTGGCTTAGTGGGGCCTCTTCTACCTCGTACGTCCCGCTCGTGCCATTCGTGTATGTCCTGCTTCTCGGTCCCTTTTCCTGCGACAGCCCAGGGGTAAGAAAGGGATTCCACATCCCTAGTTCTTGTTTAGAGGTGTTGCGCCCTCTTTAGTGTGCGGCCCCTCGAAGTCGAAGCTGATGTTGTCCCGCTGAAATCCTTTTCCGAATTTCTATTAGGTCTAAGTTTCAAAGGGTGGAGACGCCCGGCAAATGATGTACTTGAAAAGTCATGCCACACGAAAAGTTCCTGCTACAGACACGAGACTTGACTCAATAGCCGACCCCACCGGGCATCCGCAAAAGGTCACAAAGTCCTGCAGGCGTCTTGAGTCCTGCGACGACCCATCCAAGACGGTTTTCAGTTTTCGTAGAGCTCGTGCCGGGTGGCGGTGCCAGGCCGGGACAAGTTCACGCAAGCTCTTACGGTCCAGTAGCCTTATAGAACTAACCGAACTAGACCCAAAACCCTAAGCCATTGTTCCTACTGTGGACGGAATATATTTCGCCTGCGCTGGGATGTCGCCATCTGAGGCTCCAGTCAGCACGCATTGACCTTCTTCCAGTTGACGTTCGGACTATTTGCGCCTACCCCCAACCCTCATCTAGTTAAGATAGGAAATGGTGGTAATTCTGTTGTTCCTTTTTTAACGTCGTAAGCCCTTAGTGCTCGTCCGGTAGCATCGACCCTGAGGTGGTTGCAACAGCTGAGCTGGCGAAGCAGGAGGCATCGAACAGCCAAACGAGCTTGACAGGTTTCAGGGTTTAGGGTTCAGGGCTTCGGGTTTTAAACCCTATGTTTCAGGTTTAAGGTTTGGAGGTCTAAGGTTGTCAGGGTCCAGGGTTGAGGGTACTTTGAAAATTCCGGGCTCAGTGTTTAAGGCTTCAGTGCTTCAGGCCCTAAGACATAACGGCTCAACTGTTTAAGGAGGGCTTGACGGTTCAAAGCTTCAGGACCTGAGGCCTGAGCTTAAGGGCTCAAGGATCTAACGGTTTGAGGGTTCTTACTACTGAGGGTTTTAGGGTCTTTTTTGGGGCTTCCGGCAGGTTGGCCAAATCGCTCCGAGCTTCAACGTGCTGGGCCTCACTGCAAGCTACCTGACTGGAAGGCGCGGGTAGGGTTTTGTGCCTCAGTCTCAAGCCCTAAAACCCCGAAACGAAAAACCCTGTTCTGTCGGATGCTGAATTTGCAGTGTTTTTTTGTTTGTTTCCTTTTTCGGAGGGCGGGGTGCCGGTCTACTACTTTCTGCGACCGTGAGTCGGACTCCGCAAAACTCTCAACCACCAGAAGCCCTTCCTACACCCAAAAGCCTGAAGTCTCCCAGGAAGGACAAAAAAGAACCTTAAGCTACAGGATGCCCAGTACCCGTAAGTTCCCTCTTCCAAAGAAGGGTTATCGGTTCCCTCCAGAAGCCCCTGAATATACTCGACTACCAGGCACCTAAGCCCCAGGCCCCCTCAAGGGCCAAGTACAAACAAGCAAAAGGCACACGCGAACTTTTGTGGGGCTGCGTGCGCAGGAGCGCAGACTTCCTTGGAAAGCGCTTCCAGGTGGGATCCCCTTGGAGCGCTCGCTTTGCGAAGGTGGTAGGGACCCCTGATGCTTCCAAGAGCCTGGTTTCGGGTTGTAAGGCATTCGGTAGCTAGGCATGGTAATGGGCTCAACATTCGTGGACAGCGACCACATATCCCTACATATTGATTTCCAAATGGGCAAAAGCATGCAGGAGCTCACACTTTTTGAAGCTTCCAGCGGATGTCTTGTTTGGTGCTGCACTGCGCAAAGTCCCAAGCTAAAGTGCCCGGAGGCTATCCCTCGGCCGCTTTCGGTGCCTTGTCCAGTTCGGCACAAAACCCCTCAAGTTCGCTGCTGCGAGCTTTGCATGGCCTCGCTATCACCTTGCTTTTGGAGGTTTTCTGGACAAGGTTCCATAGTTCTGAGGGGCGCAGGGTCAGGTTCAGGATCCCCAAAGTATGGTACTTGGCAGTCAGGAAGGCTGCGCAAGGCCGCCGGGGTTGCCAGGCAACGCCACGTTATCAGCGAAACCTTTGTGGAACTCAGTGTGACAGCACGCAACCATCAGAGCATCCGGTGTGGCATATGCTCCTGCGTGCCAACCGTGCCAACCTTCCCAGACAGCACTGCAATGCACTGCGTCTTCAGGCCCTCAACGAGGAACGTCATGCCCCGAAACCCAATTCAACACAAACGCCGTCAGTTGAGGCAAAACCGCCATGACACGCGCCGCAAATGCGACACGGACCCACGACGTTATTAGGCGATAGCGGACCTCGCAGACTACAACACGCGCCCACAAAAGGTACCAACATGTTGACAACTTCGACTGATTAATGTTACATCCTCAGAGCCCAGCAACGTCGTCTTCACAAAGCCAGAAGCACCCCGGAGCCCCAGCACAGCTCTTTTGGCCCTTGAGGTTCTTCGTCTCAAAGCTCCAAAGCTGCACCAAGCAGGGGCTTGTGAAGGCTTCGTCGATAGCACCAAATACAAGACATTCCTTACAGTCGCTAAGAAAAGTGTTGGGCCTTTCATGTCATGCTGCGCCGCTTGTTCGTCAAGCCAAGCAAGCTTGCACATTGCACGCCTAAAGCGCTTGCAGGGCCGAAATTATAAGCCCTGAACTCTAAACCCTAGCGCCCGCGAGGGTTCAGAGCATAATTTGAGGTGGAGCTGTGCAACGCTGCTCGCAGCCTGCTTCTCTGCAAGGCCTCGTGCGTGGAGATTCGTCCTGTGTCTGAACGGGAGCCATATTACCTGTTGTACAAGGACTCCATGAGCAGTCTTCTTGTGCTTGTGCATAGAAGCTGCAGGTAGCAGAGAATGCAGACACGTCGATTCCTCAGCGTGGCTGGTGTACAGCCATGATCCGTGTGTCCAGTTGCAATTGATCCTTGGACCCTTACCCAAGCGGTCTGGGATCTCACCCCGCCGCTGCCCCCTGTGGCCTAGGCGCTCTGTGGTTGCCCACGCGGGGCGGCGCGCTCGGACCTCAGCGGCACCTGGGCCTGAATGTGGAGCGATTCCTTCGTGCACCTTGCTGTCCTCCCTGCAAGGGGGCTTGTCAGCTTGTCGTCTTTGGAACAAGGTCTGTGCTTGTCAAGTCTAGAGTCTCCAAGCTCAACATGTCAAGCTGCTCTTGTGAAAGGTCTCCAAAACCCAAAGCGACATGTCAATTATGGCAAGTGCGATTTCTGCAGGCAAGCCCGAAGCGTACTTTTCACATTTTACCACAGTTTGAGCCATCCGAATCTTGCAAACTATTGAAGCCTCCCAGGACAAAGTGAACATGTCAAGCTTATTGCTTTTTAGTTTTGAGACCCTCGGCATCGGAGTCATATGGTTGCCTAGTTATACATGGTTCTTAACCGCATGGTTGGCTTGTTATGTCTTGTTCGCTCTCTTATTGTCAACGAAGGCCTCATTCGGGCACCCATTCCTCAACCAAAGAAGTATACGGGCCAGATACGGGCCATTACGGGTCCCTTGCCCAGGCGCCCTGCTTTCCACACGGGCTTGGCTTCGCGCGACGAGCTTGGCTTGAAGTGGCTACAAACAAACAGAATCAGCTACATCCATCCTTCTTCATCTACCGTAACAGCAGAATGTTCCAGAGCCTCTGATTGACTTGGACGACAGTTCTGGTTGCACGTCGCTTATCTTTAAGGCATCATCCCAAGCCCAGGTCAGGAGGGGAGTGGCTTGCTTGCTTTGAGAAAGCATGCGGCATGTGTAGACTGTCTGCCAAGAGTGTAAAAATCTGGGTTAAACATGAAGCGTCACGCCCTTGGCCAATGTTTCACCCGCGAAGTTGCTCCCTAAATCTGTATAGGGGCTTCGCTTTCAACTCACAAGCGCTTAAATCCCGAAGCGCATCAAACCCCAAGCGTTTAGGAGCCACTAGCACGCTGTGCTTGAAGATCGGTGCGTCATGCATCCTGTGCTCTGAGTTGTGTTTGGACCGAATTGGGACGTCTTCCCTGAGGCTTTACCCCTGGCTGAGCGCCGGGCTGCCACTCCCTGACCGACGCTGAAGGTGTCATGCAAGCAACTGCAAATCAGCAGACTCAATCAGAGCAATCACATCTCAACTCCCCCAATGCCTGTTTGACCGACTGGTCTATCCCCTTGGCGACCATGTTGGAGTTGGGACCAGCGCAGAATCAGATGGACACTTTCATGATGTTTGTTGGGGTGCACGTGGATCAAGTTTGACAGCAGTGAACCTCCTAAGCGTGCTGCACAGATGCTCGATGCAAATGTCTCTGGTTCCAGAGATGCAGACCAGCTCAATTGGAAGAAAGGAGGTCTGTCGCCTGCACTGTGCTGTCCTCTCGCAGCCCTAGGGAGCAGAGCTGCCATGATGTGTCCAGGTCTCACGAACTTCCCCAAAAGGGGACCTCCGAACGGACGACTGGCTCTCGCGGGATTGAGCGTCCACGCCATAACCCTTCACCCTAAAGCCTAAGCCCCAAACCCCAACTGCATGAGCGCCTGCTTTTGAGACAGCCCAGCAAGTTGAGCCAAGGCCGAACCCCCCAGTCCCCAGGCGAAAAACCCAGATCGCCTAACCCCTTTGCTTGAACCCTCAGCCCTACACCCTCAGCTCCCAAACCCTACGTCTCCATAGCATTGGGCTTGCATCCCCGAAAGCTCGCTTGCCGGCGATCGATTCCACAGGCCGGGTGCGGAGCTCCAACGGCCTCACCGGAGCATACGTCTCCTTAGCACTGGCGGTTGCACCCTTTCGAGCTCACATGCGCCGGCCGAGATGCACCACAACTCTTCACACGAGGGCAGCCCAAAGAAATGCACATATGGGGTTACCCGGCCCCTTAGATCTTATTCTTATTCCTATTCCTTGTGCATGTCTGGATCCCCAATGGATCACTAGTGCCGCACGAGACGTCGCAAAGCTTCACACGCTAAACCCCTCTACAGAATAAGTCACAATGGGAAGGTTTGTGAAAAGCAGCAGGCATTTTGTTCGCGAAAGCGAAGAAACAATTCTATTTCTTAAGAACCTGTTCAATAGCTGTCCGGTGGGCGTGCGGCGGCTTGGGAGAACTTTGGCAGAAGCGCAGACCAAAACCAGCACGTTGACGTTCCCGAGATGATCCTTGCGACACCCTTGTCGAACTCAAAGTCGCTTCAGGAATGTGAATGCTCACGCTCCTGTTTTCGACGAATCGAGAACGGATAGGTGGATCTGTGCGGTTTGAGCTTTCCTATGTTCTCAGACTCTTTTCTCGACATGACACTGACGTTTACATACGTTTACGCAATTCAGTCTGCCGACACCATTGGGCTCAGTGAAGTTTATATTTCACGAAGAATGCGCGAGAAATCAGATGCCCAGCCCGACTTGAAAACCCAAAAACCCCGGAGTGCACAAAGAGCCACGTAGTGACCGTAGTGACGTAGTGCGATGTATGGGCCGAGCACTCATCTGCTTCTCCAGTCTCGCTTGATTGCTGATTCCGCAGCTTGTGGGTGCAGGGCCAGGTTACCGCCTCTACAAAGGACCCCTGAAGCATGAGATCCGCAGGAGCCTTTCACAGATGTCCTGAAACTTAAGTGTCGCACCTCAGGCTCAATGCGATCATGAACCGCAATGCCTACCTCTCCTGGGGTAACGGGCGAGCTGGGGTGCCAAGATGGGCTAAGTTTCGCAGCAGACGTGACGGGGAGTCAGGAGGAGCAGTCTGCAACCTTCGTTCGTATAACTGGTGTCTTCCGGACCGGCAGAGCTGAAAAGTTCCCTTCCCGTCATCAGATGCGACTTCTTTGACTCACTCAGAACTTCTGTTTAACAACCATGATCATCATCATCTTCATTCTCATCCGCATCCTCCCCTTCACAGAAGCCTCTCGCGACAGTCGAAGAAGGAACCTCCTGCCCAAACGAACATTTTCTCCTTATACAGAGGAACATTTATACCTGCCCCCACCAAAAGCTGCTCTGACTCAACAGGCCCAAACCCGAAAGCCGTGTAGCCAGCATCCTAAAACCCGAAACCCTAAGCCACGAAATCCTGTGCTTGAGGATTTCATCTTCACAGGCAACCGGGACTTCCAGGGCGGTCGGCAGTGCTGGCTCGAGGCCCCCTACTTGGAAGGGGGGGGGGGAGGGGGGGGGGAGCCTGTCAGTCCCGTATTTTTTTACATTGACTTGTTGTTGGATAAACACTCAGACACCCAGCATGGGGCCATTCTTGAGACGAGTTCTTATATGTGCATATATATATATATACATATATACATATATACATATATACATATATACATACATATATCATATAACATATATACATATATATACATATATATATACATATATACATATATACATACATATATATATATACATATATATATATATACATATATATATACATATATACATATACATATATATATGCATATATGCATATATACATATATACATATATGAGCCTGAGACCTTTCGGGTTCTTTTGGCTTACTTTTTATAAGTGTATTAAAAAATAATAGTATAAATCTATATATTAGAATAAGCATGCTTTGCCAATAGACTTTTCATCATGCGATACAGCTACTCAGCGGCTCCGGTACGTATGCAGTCAAAGCTCAAGCAGCAGAGAAAACACAGCCAGAAAATCTACTATAAAACCCTAAGCTTCAAACTATAAACCTTAAACTTATCTTCTCTGCAAGCTTCGGCACGCAGGCTGCAGGAAGCTGCAGCTTCTCCAAGCTCTGGTAGCCAGTTACGCTGAAAATTAAGGTCTAAGATTTATGGTTTAAAATTTTTGGTTTAATGTTTAGAGTTTAATGTTTTTTTTAAAAAAGTACGGTTTCAGGTTTCATGTATTACAATCATGGATGGCAGCTACTAGAGTTTAGGATCGGATGTCTATAGCTCAGGGATTTACTTTGACCCACCTGTTCACCCGCCTTCCATGTTTTCTTTTGTAATTTGAGAGGGGGGGCGGGGTACCTGATTTTCCTGATGCACCACTACAGTGACCACAAAAACTGCTTCAGGCCTTTGCGTTCAGAGCTGGAGTTTTAGGGCTTAGGGTTTAGGGCTTATGCTTTAAGGTTTAGGGCTTAAAGATGGTTGCCAAGGGAATTGATTCCTACAAGTGGCTTGGATTAGCTGCACTCCGCGCGCACGGACTGGGAGCTGCAAATGCCCCACGTGTTCATCGCAAGCTTACCTTGTGTATGGTTTAGGGTTTAGGGTTTAGGGTTTAGGATCATACCCGAAACCCGATGTTACGAAAGAAAGTCCAAGAAGAAGATCCCAGGCCCAAACCATTGCTAATTCGTAATTCTGCCCGAAACCCACAACGCCAGACCTCAACCAGGTGAGTCTACGCAGATCTTCGTCATATGACCTATTAGTGACAGTTACAAATTTGAGGAGTTACGCATGTTTTAAGGAAAAAATGGGGATTTGACTTGTCAAGATTAGGCACGTCTGCGTGCGTCGGACAAACCCTAAAGACCCTTAGATCTGTGATACGACACTAAACCCTAAGCCCGCATGTTTTAAGGAAAAAATGGGGATTTGACTTGTCAAGATTAGGCACGTCTGCGTGCGTCGGACAAACCCTAAAGACCCTTAGATCTGTGATACGACACTAAACCCTAAGCCCGGAGCCTAGACAGATATAATACAGGATGCTAGCAACGGCAAAGGAATATAACAGAATCGAATGAAGCAGATGAAAAAAATACGCTTGGACAGGCATTAGGGGTACGATGCCCCGGTGGCATGAGCTCCGGCGTCGTTGTGGGCGCACCTAGTCGAGCAGTGTTATGAGCGCGTCTTCTGTCAAAGTGTCTTTGACACCGGACGCTGTAAGTCTAAAGGCTCTGTAGGGCCAACTACCAGAGCACAAGATGATATACAAACAACAAAACCATAAACCCTAAACCCTCTGCGCCTAACTAGTACCTAAAAACTGTTGGCACCTAGAGGCAGAGCCAGCTGCTTGTGCCCACTGGCTGACTGATCCGCCTCATATGGCACAACTACTGTCCAGAGATCTGAACACCTTGATTTTGATGACTCTTCAATAAACCCTCAAACATCAGTTTGCTTGGCAAGTTGATTTGCTTGAAGGGGTTTATAAGGGAACCTAAACTCTTCAAAAACGAAACAAGGGTACTCCTGGGCATCCTAAGATCTTAAGTTTACCTTATACTATTTCGGCCGATTTATATTCGGTTTCCTCATCTTCGTAAACCCTCACAAGGGCTTTCTAGGCGGGTACAGATCTTCAAGCCTAAAATCCTGAACCCCAAACCCTAAACTCTAACCTAAACCCTAAACTTTAAACCCTCGACTCTAAACCTTAAACTATGACTGAGGGGTTGATCCTGCTTGGAGAGCCATTCCAGCGAAGCAATCGCACGGCCTTCCAGCGCATACCGTGGGGTTTAGGGTTTCGGGTTTAGGGCTTAGGGTTTAAGGGCTCACATGTTTTAAAGGGTGCAGGCCTAGGCGGCCTGAATCATGCACTTAAGAACCAGCTGCAGGACGCGGTCTGAGAAGTGTCTTGCCAGCAGATTCAGCCCTAAACTCCTACCCAAGACTTGTTGAGGACTCAAGCGGCTTGAGGTATTGGGCCCTGTCAGGCCCTAAGGCCCTTGTAAGGGTCTCAGATGCTACCATGAGCCCCTGAACCCTGAACCCTAAACCCTCAGCCCTAAACCCAAAACCCTCAGCCCTAAACCTAAACCCTCAGCCCTAGAGCCTAAACCCTCAAAAGCTACTATAAGGAAGCGAGAAGGGCTGCCAGAGTCGACGTTTCAAGGACATGGTTGTACTAGGGATCTCTCCCCACTCTAGTTGCAGCAAATACGAAGAGTCCAATACCCCTAAATGAGGAATAGGGTTTAGGGTTTAGAGTTTACGAGTATGCCTTGCAGGGCCGCAGTCCCTACAAGCCGTCGTCTGCAGAGTGCCGGGAAGCTGCAGTTTCTCCAGGCTCGGGTAGAAAAGTACGCCGAAAGTCAAGTTTTGTACACCAGTAGCCGAAGG